GAAGAAAGAAGGAAGAAAGGAGACAAATAGGAAGAAAGGGAGAAAAAGAACAAAGAAGAAAGAAAGGAAAAGAAAAAGGAATTTCAATCTGGGGTTTTGCCAAGGGAAATGGAAGCATAGAAACAAAGATTTGTTCAGCCTTATTTGTTAACAGCCAAATATGAGAACAACCCAAATGTCCAACAGGTAAAAGGTTAAAGACAGCATATCTGTTCAAAGGAACCAACAGGTCACCACTCAGCAATAAAAAAGTTAAACCTAGCCAGGCAGTGGTGGCTTTAATCCCAGCACATAGGCGGCAGAGACAGATGGATCTCTGTAAGTTCGAAGTCACAGCCTGGTTTACAGTATGAGTTCCAGGACACAGAGCTATATACAGAGAAACCCTGTCTCAAAAAGACAAAACAAAAGTTAAGTCTACCACCTTAGAGAATTAGAAGACCAACCAAAATATGTGACAAACAGTTTCAGGATACTAAAAGCAGGAGTCAGAAACCGAGGTCTCTCAGAGAGGAGATGCAGACAAGCTGAGCCCAGGCAGGGCTCCTGTTGCCTCCTGAGTCTCCAGTCCACAGTGTAAGCTTGAAGGCAGAGTGAGAGCTCAGGGAAACCAGGGCAGCCAGATGTCCAGGGAAGAGCATCTGGAAAGGAGCAAGCTGCACTGGAAAGGTCTGAAGAAGGGTTCCTAAGGACATGGAGGATGGAAATGCCTCCTGACACGAGAAGAGTGAAACCACAGAAGGAAGAACAGTCCTTTGGACTTGTTCAGGAGCAGGAGAATTCCCACAGCCAGAGCAGAAAATGCTCTTCGAACACCAAGCAGAGCTGCTCAGGGAAGAGCTTCCTCAGGGATGGCCACTGGAGGCTGCAACACCTCCTGGGATGATACTGCACTATATTTACACAAGAGGAACTGTGGGAGGAGACTAGTCAAAGAGTATGTGAGGCTTCACTCCACAGTTTATGTTTCCTATCAATCTATATTTCAGAACGAAAAGCAATTTTAATCATTCAAATGAAAAGAAATCATGTAGTCCTCAATGGGGAAAAAAACAAAGGATGAATATCTGTAACATGTAAAGTGAAAAAACCTAGAAATTGGATTAGGGAAGATGGCTCTATGGGTAAGTACTTGCCATACAAGCACAAGGACCTGAGTTCAGGTCCCCAGTGCCCAAGTAAGAGCCAGAAGCAGTGGTACACGCCTGCAATCCCAGTGCTAGCAGGTAGAGACAAGAGGACCCCTGAGGTTTACTGGCCAAACAATTTTGCTGACTTGGCAAGTTCCAGGTTCAAAGAAATCGGGAGAGCCTGCCTCAACAGTAAGCCTGCCTCAACAGAGTGCCTGAGGAAGGAACCTGATGTCAATATCTGGCCACTACATGTGTACATGCACACACCCACACACATTCAACAACAAAAAAGGATATACTGCACATTTTCTTTTACATGAAACTCTGAGACAGTTAAAAATCATCTACTGTGACAAAGTCAGGAGTCACATGTGACACTCTGGGACATGGTGGGAAGCCACGCTGCCAAAGAGCACAAGAGAATTTGAGGGAGGATGACGGAGTTTTCTTTTACTTATTTTGGGTTTGTGTTTTTGTGTTTGCCCACATCTACATGTGTGCAGTGCCTGCAGAGACCAGGAGAGGACGTCAGAGCCTCCTGGAACTGGAGTTCCAGACAGTTGGGAACTGCCATAAGCCTGCTGAAACTCAACCTGGGTTCTCTGGAAGAGCAGCTTTCTACTCTGAACTGCTGAGTCATCTCCAGTCCCAGCGACAGGATTTCTATATCTAGGTGGCAGTGGGTATTGCATAGACGCCACACGTACCAATCTCACTGAAATGTGTGTTTTAAACCAGTGGATATTATTACGTCTAAGTCATACTTCCCAAAAGTGGGACTCAGAGAAACCATGTGCTGTAGTCACATGGTCTAGACTCTCCGCCCACTCACTAGTTGTGTGATGTCAACAAGCACTTGCTTCGCCTCTCCATACTTCAATTTTCTCAGCTATAAAATGAGTACTAAGTGCTACTGTCCTCGCTTGCTTTCTGTTGCTGTAATAAAATACTGACCAAAACCAACCTGGGGAGGAAAGAGTTAATTTGGCCCCAGCTTACAGTCCATCATCCAGGGAAGCAAAGGCAGGAACCTGGAAGTAGGAACTGAAGCAAAGGTCATGGAGGAGTGCTTCTTACTGGCTTGTTTCTCAGGGGCTTGCTCAACCTGCTTTTTTATATAATCCAGAACTGCCCCACCCAGGGATGGCCCCGCCCACAGAGTCTCAGAGCTGTGCCCACAGCCAACATGATGGAGGCAATTCCTCAGCTGAGGTTCCCTCTTCCGAGGCGACTCTAGTCTGTGATGAGTTGACAAAGGCTAACCAGCACAGGTACCCGCCTGATAGTGCCCTTCGAGAAATTAATTAGTCATTTTGAATGGAGCTTTGGTGGGAACAAGTTCTGAACTTGAGTTTTAATAAGCAAAGAGGTCAGGCTGCAATTTCCACAGTCAGTGCCATTCTCTCTGCTCCTCAGAGAAAAACCCACTAGTGGTCATAGCACTTACTTCCTTGTGTCTCTCTGAGTTGTCATATTTCGCAGGTCAAGGTCCTTTGTAAAGATCCCTCCTCCCTTTTGGCCTGGCTCACCCAATTCATTATAAATCCCAAGCCCTCCAGGCAGCCCTCTGTGAATTCTCTAAGACAGACAATTAGCCAGGAGAGAAAGCCAATACTTCTCTATGAGAGCACCAGGCATGGCTAAGGTACATATTTATAGCTGTGTGTTTATTTCATGCATTCATTTATCAAATGCTTATTGAGCGTCACTGTGGGCCAGACATTATTCTACACTCCGAGGACACAGCAGCTCGCAAAGCCATATCCCGGCTGATGGGCTGGGGAGCCAGGAATAAAATAAATAGGCAATCAAGTAACCTGGGTTATGTCAGGCAATGATGGATGCTACAGAGGAAAGGGAAACAGTGAAGGAATAGGCGCCATGGTAACGCGTCCGAAGACAGGAAGGAACGGATTACAGCAATATCTGGGAAAAGAAAGTTCCAGAAAGGAAAAAAAAAAAAAAAGAAACACAAAGGCCTTTGGAGTTAGGAGCATGATTTATTGGCACCTTGTCCTATAGACCACACAAGAATGAGGAAGGAAGGTGATGAAGCTGGGAGCCGCTGGGTTTACCCTCAGCTGTGAAACAGGGTGGAGCCACTGGAAAGGCATTGGCATGGGAACTGTTGTCTAACTTTTCATTGATTCTTCGTGAATTTAACATCACGCATCCAGTCACACTCATCTCCCCATCCTTTGTACAGGCCCTCCAGCCTTGCAACCTCCTCTGCAAAAGAAAACAAATCTCACTGTGGAAGCTGCAGTGTGTCACAGTGTGTAACATGGTATATATACCCTTTCGTCCACACTTCTTTGCTTGCAAATGTTCGTTGCAATGAGTCATTGGTCTGGTATGAGGCCTCTGGCTTCTGCTACACCATCAATGCTGGATCCTCACTGGGACTCCTCTCAGATATCCTGTTGTTGCTCCGCACAGAGACATCTTACTCTGGCTTTTAACTGGCTTCTGAACACTCGGAACTCCTTGGATGGGACAGTGGCTGTTTTAGAGAAAGCAGCCTGGATGAGAGAGGTGCTGAGGACACAGCCCCAGGCAGTAAGGGCAAGGAAACTCAGCTGGTTCTAGACACACTCAAAAGTAAACATTCGGGTGTAAAGGACAAAAGAGAGAGACACCACAAGTGACGCCAAGGATCTGAGGTCTGAGCACGTTAAAAAAAAAAAAAAAAAAAAAGGAAGAGGAGTTTGGCGAAAACACCCAAGCACCAGTTTCTGGAAGAATCTTCAGAACTCTGTTTTGAGCATTCTAACTTTGAGGGGCCTACTGAATATATGGTATGGATGGCATTAGGAAAGGCAGGGCTCGAGTCTGCAGTGTGAAGGAGCAGTTCAGACAGAAGCTATCCATACCCTGCAGCCAGCATATTTTCAAACTCAAGACCTGGATGAGATCACAGAGAGACAAGCACAGAGAGAAAGATTTTTAAGGAATGACACATGGTAGGGCTGGAGGAAGG